GGATCCCAACCTAATTTTTTTGCAGGATATATAAATCTATGGGCTTAAACAAGCTTTGAGAGCATGGTTTAGAAGACTCTCACGACAACTACTTGAATATGATTTCCTTGAATCTTTTGTTGATTCATCTCTATATATTTATGGCAGGAATAACTTATAAATATTTGTTCTTGTTTATGTAGACAATATCATCGCGACAAGAACAATACAACGGGTATTACTCAGTTTATTGCTGTACTAGGTATGTTAATCCCAAATTCAATTTATCTACATGTTGGGTAGTGGACTCTGGTGCTATAAGTCACATATGCTCTTATCATTCCAACTTTAACTCCATGAAACCTATTCAGAATTCGTTTGTCACACTGCCTAACCATGAACAAATTCCTGTTCAATTTATTGGGAATGTAAGGTTATCTGCTGACTTAATGCTTGAAGATGTGTTGTTTGTACCTCAATTTAAATTCAACTTGTTTTCAGTAAGTTTCTTAACTAGAAAGTCTTCTTTGAGCATCAGATTTCTCACTAATTCATGTGTGATTCAGGAGCTGCACACCTTGAAGATGATTGGCAGTGGTGAGAAGGTTGTAGAACTCTATGTTCTTGATACTAGTTTACTTGATCTGGTAGCAAATAAACGTAGCATTGTTACTAGTCATACTTAGCATCATAGATTAGGCCATTTATCTTTTAAAAGGTTAAATTTGTTGAAAGACAAATTGAGAATTGATTGGATGAAGGAATGTCATTTTTGCTCTATGTTCAATATGTCCTTTAGCCAAGCAAAGACGGCTTTCATTTGTATCAAACAATCATTTAGCTCAGGCTGTATTTGACTTAGTTCACTGTGATGTTTGGGGCCCCTATAATGTCCCTACACATGCTAGTTATAGATACTTTTTAACATTGGTTGATGATTGTACGCGATTTACATGGGTATACCTGATGAAGCAAAAGTCTGATGCAAAATTCATTGTTCCCATATTTATTAGATTAATTGAAACTCAGTTTCATAAGGTGGTTAAAAGGTTCAAGTAAGATAATGCTCAAGAACTTCAATTTACAGATCTGTTTAATGAAAATGGGATTATACATCAATTTTCTTGTGTGGAAAGGCCTGAACGGAACTCTGTGGTAGAAAGAAAACACCAACATCTCCTTAATGTGTCTCGTGCTTTATTTTTTTAGTCTAAAATTTCCATAAAATTCTGGGGAAAATGCATTCTCACAACTATTTTCTTAATCAACAGAACACCCTCACCAGTTATACAAAATAAAACACATTTTTCTTCCTTATACAATTCTCCAGTTAATTATGATCATCTTAGAACCTTTGGCAGCCTTTGTTTCGCTTCTATTTTACCTTCTTACAGAACATCCAAGAGCTAAAAGTTGCGTGTTTGTTGATTATCCTTCTACCATCAAACGGTACAAACTCTATGATATCATTTCCAGAACTTTCTTCGTCTCAAGATATGTTGTTATCCATGAACAATATTTCCTTTTCATTCAATCTCATCTTCAAATAATTTGATTGATCCCTTCTCTGATGTAGTTTTACCAAATATTGCTTCTGATTCAGCCCTTTATCATTTACCTGCTACTTCATCTTCGAATATTAGACATGCTGATCAAGATGATCCAAAATTTTCATACAACTCATCTCTCTAAGGTTCTGCTTCTTATCAATCCCTGACAGCAAACACTGATCACTCCTTATCACCTATCCCTAGAAGAACCACTAGAATAACCAAAGCTCCTTCCTACTTTAGAGATTACCATTGAAATCTATTAACTAAAACACCACATCCAAATTCAATTCATGCATATCCTTTATGCAAATCCATTTCTTACACATCCTTCTCTCCAGCACACAAGACTTTTCTACTCAATATTTCCTCCAATTTTGAACCCTAATTTTATCATCAAGCCGTGAAACATAAATACTGGAAAGATGCTATGGATGCTGAATTAGCAGCTATAGAGGCCAATCAAACATGGTCAGTTACTACCCTTCCAAGAGGCAAGCATTCCATAGGTTGTAAGTGGGCGTAGAAGATTAAATTTAGATCTGATGGTAGCATAGACAGGTACAGAGCCCGTTTAGTGGCCAAAGGATACACTCAACAAGAAGTATTGGACTTTATTCAAACGTTTTCTCCAGTTGCCAAATTAGTCACTGTTAAAGTCCTCCTTGCCATTGCTGTAGTTAAGGGTTGGCATATTTTCCAATTGAATGTAAATAAAGCTTTTCTTAATGGGGACCTTTTCGAAAAAATATATATGGACTTACCTTTAGAATATACCAAACAACCTGCTGTTGGATCACAGGGGGAGAAACTGGTATGCAGGCTTAATAAATCAATTTATGGTCTTAAACAGGCGTCAGGACAATGGTTTTCAAAGTTCTCTAAATCTCTTATACTACATGGCTTCCATCAATCCAAATTGGACTATTTACAAAAGATTCTAGAGCTTCTTTTAATGCATTACTGGTTTATGTTGATGATATTATCATCACAGGATCAAACATTGAAGAAGTAAAATTCGTAAAGGCATTTTTGCATAATCAGTTTAAGCTCAAAGACCTAGGTAAACTGAAGTATTTTCTTGGCTTGGAGATAGCAAGGTCATAGAAAAGAATCTTCCTCTCCCAAAGACATTACACTCTTCAACTTCTTAAAGACACTGGTTCTTTTGCCAGCAAACCAGCTCAGCTACTTGTGGATCCGC